CCGTCAAAACAGCTGCAACTGCAGCAAGCCTATCTCATTGGTTTGGACATGGTAGACGCGGTGGTGCTAACGCCGAGTCAACGTTGGTCCTTTCGTGGGGCGAGGATGTGAAAGCGAAGACACTTCGGAGCCGCCACTGTTGCAGACGCCATACCGTCACGCACGGACCTGCATCAGCTCTCATCATCGCGCGTCTTTGCAGCACACTCAACGACTACGAGTCTACTTATAACCTGAATATGCCATTCTCCAGAAGGCTAGCAGCACGCGGTCAGGAGCGATCGCCACCGCAAAGGCAGAACCGTGCCAGCGAACCACCAAGGTGCCAGGAGATGTCTCCACTTCTTGGCATGGACAGGCGCCGGAAGCACTTCTCCCTATCATGGCAAACCTGCAAAGACGCAGCGTCAAGCAGTTGCAGTGAACCCGGCTGAGCTGGGCGGGCATGGTGCGGCGGCGGGCTACTCAAGCTCCAAAATCTCGAACTCTCCCTGCCGCTCAGCTTTCGCTCGCACTTACGCCACAAGGACACCAAGGGGGGGCGTTGGCAAACAGAAGCCGAGACAACGAAAGCTTACAATCAGCATACATCCCTGACACGTAAGCTCCTTTTCAACCTGCTTTCGCATCGGTGGCGTGGTCTGCGATGTGTGACTTCATTCGACGTCGTGAATCGATGCATCTCGCAACTTCTTACAGACATGTTTCCTTCGGCATCTACAGGACCGACCGTTTCCAATCGTGCTGGCCCCGTCCTCCCATCGAAGGCGAACGCCACTGACCGTCTCTCGCCTGTAACGCTCGGTGTAGCGAAGCAATTTTGCGGATATCGGAGAAGCCTTTACAGGGGCGAAGCCAATATACCTTATGGTTATGGTGGCTCTACTCGTAGTAGCTTGAATGAAGCGGAAAATCAAGCATCAGCCAAGTCTGAGCTTAGCTGCATGCATCCGAAATGTTACCTTCGTAGGTACTCGCTCTAAACGGTGGGCAAGGCCTCGTCGGCAGTGCCAAGTCCAAGGTGCTGCCATCAGGCAAGTTAATGAGCTCCTTTAATGAGTGCATGTCGAGAAGCTTCGTTATCGCAGCACTGGATGTAGAACTGGTCGAACTAGGGCTCGAAGACGAAACAGATCACTGCCCATCCGTTTTCGATGTTCGCGGTGTCTGCGGAATTCCAATTGGGAAGGTCGTCATCGCCTGGGCGCACACCTGCTCTCCCAATCTGAAATATGCATCCACGTAGATGATGCTGTAGACCGACCTCACGTCTTGCACAAAATATCGCGGAGCAACCAGGAACCGCAACGCGGGGTGCATACACGGATGATCGCAGTTCTTGGACTCCAAGTACCGAGGACACACTCAAGAACTTCTCGAAGTTTCCATCACAAGGGAACGGAAACCAAGAAGTCTCGCGCACCTTGGCCATTGTGGGAGATCGAAAGAGGTCGATAGATGAAGAGAAGTGAAGAAAATGCTTCAACTCGATTCTTATACCAAAATGGCGACGGAGCATGCACAGGTTTGATAGATCGACGTGTGAAGATCCTCGAGGTGAATCGGTTCAGACATGAAAGAACAATCCATGCTCATGCAGTCATGCCTATGCCTCGTTGGGGCTTGGTTTGGATGCAGGGAGCTAGTTTAGTTTGAACGTGTACGGGATGACGGATGAGATGCGCAGACACGCCCAAATGCATGTCTCGAGTCATTTTCGGGTGGGCGGATGAGATACCGGAAATGCTGAAATCAGGCCCAGCGGCATTTTTCACATTTCTCACACCGTGAAACTTGAATGGGTTCCGACAATTAGTTTGGAGCACCATGGGTCCTGGGTGGGACAGGGAGACATGCAAATGCGCTCTGTGTCGCGAGTGAGGTTCTGAGCGGATGGGAAGCAGTGGCCAACGGGCGATTGGCGTCTCTCGGCGCGCCGCGCAAAGGTGCGCAGTGGCGCAACAGCGACGGCGCGCAGTTCTCCCGCCTTCCCGGCGCTCAGGTTCTGTTCCTCGCGGAGCTCGCGGAGCTCGCGACCTGGCGGTTGACGCGTTTCCTCGATGTCGAATCCCCACTTCAAAGCCAAAGCCCACACGGTGCCTGCGCCTGCGTCCGCTCTGTCCCGGTCCTCGGTCCTCACACCGCAAGGCCGAGGCCGAAACGGCGGCTGCGGTCTTGCACTCTCGTTTGCGGCAGGCCTCCTCGAGAGAGAAGACGACCGGTTTCCTGATCAGATCGCCAGAGTCGCGGCGTGCGAATGGGTGCAGAGTGTGCAGAGCGTGCAGAGTGGCGTGTGGCAGTGGGTCTCGGCCTGTTCGGCGCGGCAGCGGAAGCTCCCTCGAAGAGGGAGAGAGAGGGAGAGAGCAGAGGAGGACATGCGCGGAGATGCATTCATATTAGTGGCTCCGAGCATAGGGCGTACGGAAAGCCGATGCATTCAAGAAGCTGACGTTCGACTCCTGTCGCACTGCAAAACGCCGTTTTTTCCAGGCGCCCCCGCCTGAGCAGCTCTCGCACCTCGGTCGGCACGCCTGAGCAGAATCAGAACCGCAAAGAAAAACAGATATGGGGAAAAAAGAGGGAGGGGACCGGCCCGACCCTTGCCTTGACATTCGGACTCGGTCGCGTTGGTCGCGTTGGTGCTGTCTCTCGCCGTTTCGGCGCTCAGGTCGATCTCCTTCCGAGAAGCTCACGTCTCCGACTTGGGAAGAGATGAGCAGAGGGCACATCGAGATTGCAGAGCCAACTTCCGCCCCAGCCCGTGCACGAACCCCGTCTTCGAATCGAGGACGCTTGCTTCGTGAACTTCGGACTTGCGGCCCATCGGTGGGTAGATCAGCTCAGAACGACGGTGAAGTTCATGCGTCGCAACATCGCAACGTCCCGCCATTGGGACGAAGCTTGCTGCATGCTGACCGTGCTGCAAGAGGCGGCTCCCTCTTGCCCTCTTGCCACAGCAACGCGTTCAAAACAACTCTGAAGGCATATTGCTTTACTGTCGACTTGACTCGACCACTGTGTACAGACCCGTGAGCTCCAAGCGAACTCCATCCTGGTGAGTTGTGGGATTGCATTACAACTTCCGTCTTCAAGAAGCTTTGCCAATTGCAGGCGTCTTCATTGCATCTACATTTGAAAATTCAGGTAGCTGTCACTCGAAGTTCTCATCTTTCACATAGAGCTCATTTCGCCTTGCCTGCCGACTCTCGAATCCACTCTCCGTCAGGAAATCTCCGTGTCTTTTAATCCATTGCTAGCAACACAATAAGAGCATTTAGCAGCAACCGCGAAACACAATCCACCACAAAAGGTGGGCTCAGACCGGGTCTTGGCCTGTGAGGTGCGACACGCTCCGCAAGTGAGGGGACACCAGTTCCGCACCAAATCTCCTGAGAGTTCGCTCGAAAAATGTCGCGACGGAAAGCCACCACGTGACGGCGGAGCTTCCAGTAGCTTCGATCTAAGGCCGGATCCGTAGAAGTCGTCTTCCTTGGCACAAAGAAAGCCACAAAGGCTGAAGGGTCTTGAAGGGCCTGGTAGTTGTCCCTTGTCGCAAGCTGCCGAAGCTTGAGACATGCGGCGCACATGGCCTTCATCCTCTCGCAGGACGTACCATAGCCCAACCAACGATCATCACGATCCTGAAGCACGCGGCATGATCTTGCACAAGGCGACAAGCCGACACGGTCCGTCCTTGCACGAGTCTTCCGACAGCGCCACGGCCGCCACGGCCGCGAGCAAGGAGGCCCTCCAACGGACCGCGCCTGAAAGCCGAGACACTGCAAGACTGCACTCAAAAATGCTAAAAACGTCTCTTAGCCCAAGGTCAAGACTCATCTTCACCCCACCCCGCCCCCAATCGCTCCCTGTCTTGAGCCGGCTCGCCCTGAAAAGCGCCCCTCTTCCGACCAGCCGAAACGCCAACGGGAAACAGCGGCGCCAGATGTTCTCGCCACGAAGATGAGCTCTGCTTTGCGAGCATTCTGAAACTGCCGGCCGAGCGGAGCGGCCGTAAGCGGCCGCACTCTGCACTCTGCGAATTCAGTGCACTGCCTTGAAGTGACCGCCTGCGTTCTCTCACACGCGTCCGATCTGCTGGCGAAGGCGCATCAAGTCCTCACAGCTGGAACCCTCCTCGCGTTCACAGATAAGAACATCCCAGCCTTCACCGCAGAGCGGTTCTCGGGATCCAGGCGCACAGCTCCCTCCAAGGACCTCACGGATACCGCTTTACATCTTGTATAGGGGATAAGGAGCACAGCGTCGGCCCAGCGTTGAGCTGACGAACGCTGCTTGGAGATGACAGACATGGTAGCGGAACCCGCGGAACCGACGCAGACGGGAGAAGAGAAGGCCGAGGAAGCACGGCTTGGCGATTCGCTTCTTGAACGCTTCTAGGAGCAGCTTGCAGCCTGGTCGTGCGGAGACCGGTGCAGTGTTTTGGCTTTGAACAGCCGCATGGTGCGAGAGCGTGAGAGGTTCACAAAACCAGCTCTGCATGTCGACTTCCTCATGTCTGTTGCTATGCACCATGACAGCCGTAGACGAACTCAGCTTCATTTTCACGTCAATATAGGATCGCTTGCTGCAGACAGAGCAGATTGCCGTGTGGCGCGTGCTGCTGGTGCTGAGGCTGGGTCATCTAGACAATGCCCCGGAGTCGTCGCTTGTGCCCTCTGAGGACGACCAGAAAGTGCGATACCCGGTCAGTGCGAAAACTCAGGCTGGGATGTTCAGCGAATTCGATGGTTCGTGAAGGCGGAGCCCGTCTGCCAGCGAAGACTCTGTCAGGATGCAATGCGCATCGTTGTTGTATGCACAGGCTCAGACCTCACAGCGCTCTCCAAGTCCCCCATCTCTGCCTGACACCTCGGCTCGCAGGACTGAGAGACAGGACGCGAAGCACGCCGCTCCGAGTCGCCGAGCACCGCGCTCTCCGAGCATGGCCAAGGCGCAGGGATCCTCTGCAGAACAAGGACACCGGACAGCCGGATGCGCGATCTCTCGCGCGCGCGCCGAGAAGTTCTGAACACGTCTACGCCGCCCTTGCTCCTCGGAGTTGAGCTGCAGGAGCCTCCACTGGACGACGTGCACGGCGTGCCGTTCCCCCCCCGTTCCCCCGTTCCGTCCCTCGGCCCTCTCGGGCCTGTTGAACTGCTCGGCTGCCACTGAGACTTGGCCTGTTATGCCGACACTGACGCGAAGGCGAGATCTCTCCAAGCTTGACAGACGTGCACAAGTGCTGATTTTCGAGTTGCTGTACAATCAAGGGAGTGCACAGCGGGATTTGGTCCCCGGAACACGTGTGCAAGCTGAAGGGCTCCGATGTGGAACTAGGAAGAAGATCGGGAGAGGCGGGGTGTCAGAGTGTCGCGTGGTCACGTGGCGACACCGCCTTTGTGCTCGAGGCCGAGCTCTTGAGCGCTTCAGCGCTCAGAGCTTCGAGGCAAGCGCTCCCCATGGCAGCGGAATCCGCATCTGTCACCGTGTCGAAACCATGCCAGCTTGTCCCAGCTCACGGTGCACCACCCCCAGGTTGAAGAGGGCACCCAGAAACCTTCAGCTTCAGCGCCATAGCTCGCCGCAAGCCCCAAAAAGCCCACTGAGGGCTCTGCTGAGGCTTCAAAGCCAAAGCTGCAGTGAAGGCCTCTATGGCTTGCTTCAGCTGCCTGGGACTCAAAACCGAGACTCTGTCAAGCTCTGCAAGCTCAGCGCAGCTCAGCGCCTCTGCTGCTGCAGCACCACACCTTTACGGTAGCAGTACCTGTGTTCTGCACACTGCACGTCTGCACGTGTCGTCAAAGCACGTTCTGCAGTGCACATCGTGTGAGCAGCTGGCTGGGCATTCTGTGGGTCCAAGGACACGGCCTGCAACGGCAGTTTGCAACGAGTTGGGTGAGTCTCTTTAGGCTGTGATCATGAGTCCCCCACTCGGGTGAAGAGGTACTCTGCACCAGCCAACTGGGCAGATCGCTTCTGCACGCCCTTTTCTCCCACTCAAGGACCCCTTTTCTGTCCTGTCCTGTCCGTGGGCCAGTAGGAACTGTCCGAAGTCGTCGCAGACACAGGGATTGTTCTGGCCAGGTGGCCAGGCCATTCCAGGCCAGTCCAAGGACTTTTCACCTGCCTCGTCCAACTCCAGGGCATTGGAGTAGGCGACCAGTGCCTGTGACTAGTCCATTTGATGGGGCTCCACAAAAAACGCTACAGCACCGCGAGGACCAACAATGCAACTCTGCAACTCACCTCAGGCTCAGGGCAGCGGGGCACCTGCTGCGCGTCTCCGGACACCGCGAACTTCTTGGCGGCCTTGCAGGCCTCCTCAGAGGATGCGTACTTCGCCTCAGAGGCATGCGACCCTTCTGCCGCTTCGGCCCCCCGCACCCCAGCCCGGCCCCTTGCGCACCTCGAGGGTGACGCCCCGATCAGGTCCACAGAAGGGGCCGGGACCCGTGGGCAAGGGCCGCAGCGTCAGCGACTGCAAGCGCTGCCGAATGCGATCGCACGCGCCGCGCGGCAGCAACAGAACGCGCAGGAACGCCGACCTCCAGCAGCGGGCCGTGGTTTCCACGGGCACCCCTCGCCTGGCAGGAAGCAAAAAACGGAAGCGGCGCCGCTTAGGCCGACACAGACCTCGCCGTTCTTCACATTGCGGGCATCTTGGCGATTCATACATGCCTCCGGCTCCGCTCAGAAAGGCTTCATGCCGACGAGAACCAGCTCCAAGACTCCACTCTGAGATCGCTGGCACTTCCCGGGCCCATGCAGCTGTTTCCCGGCACGAAGCAGCCTGCGTCAGGACCAGCAGCGAAGAAAACAAGAAGGTTCGCACAAGGATGACGAAAAGCTGCGAAGACAAGGTGCAGAACTAGATGGCTGGTAAAAGGGAAGCCGGGCTTGACCTGGGCTTTCGACTTGCCCGGAGAACCTAGAGAGGGAGAGCGTCACCTGTGGAGGTATAGCCGCCGATTTGGTGCCTGGGCGCGCCTGCCAAAGGAGATCCGACGCGAGTCATCTGAGGCACACTCCCGCAGCTCCCGCAGCTCCCGCACGCCTGGCTGCACCAAGCAGCTGGTCTCCAAACCCATGGCCTGAGCAGCACACGCTACGCCGAACCGCGCAGTCGGTGCTCAGTGCGTTCGAGTTTCACGAACGAACACAGCACACTTGCAAAGACTTCCGCGTGTCGCATACCAAACCGAGTAACAGCTGAGAGATTCCCTTCCAATCCGAGATCAGCCTGCACAATGCCGCTGCTGGCGAGCGTTTCAACATGCAACTAGTCAACCCTGTCCAGCATGCACAACTCCTGTTCCATTTCAACTGCTTGTGTTTCGGTATGTGCGTTCTGCAATTAGTCTGACATGGAGCGAACTTGAACCCATACATTGCCATCTCGACACGTGACGCGTGCAACCACTCTCATGGCTCAAACATCTACAAACTGGCACAGGAATTGTGCGCGAGTGGTCTCATGGTCCGGCGTTATTGCTTTGCATGTTTCAACTACCCCCACATCAACATACCTGGCCTTGCAGGTGTGATCACTTCGGACCAAATCCATGCACTTGCCCTGGCAGTCACACCGAAGTTCAAGTGCATGTTGGCATGAGAGGAGTTGTTCGAGAGTTCACCGACGAATTCCCGAACGGCAGTGTCCCCAAAGGTTTGTATCTGCTAAGCACAAGAATTCTGAATAAGTTCAGGTGTTCCTAACACACCTCAAGTGCCATTGCAAACTGTGAGCCACGGTACATCGCTGGAGAAACACAACGGAAGCAATGAGCAGCAGCTTTCCAAACTCACTCATGCCGACAAGTGCGCAGTGGCAAACACGGTACGTTTTCAGGGTTTGCACTCGAACACTGCACCTGCAATCCTCTGCAAGGGGCATGCATTGCTCGCTGACTACCTGCAAGCTCCGGACATGATTGCGTGCTGTTTGCCAGCGTGTTCATGTGGCACACGAAACACGCAAGGAGATCCGACTTGTAGATGCCGGCCGCATCTCGAATAGCGTGCATAAACTCGCGCATGACGTGTATGTAAGAATACATGCTGGGCTCACGGGCAACCTGTTCTCACCCAAAACGGTTACGACTGTCGCTATTAAACACAAACTTATATTTGACCGATAACGGGTGCAATCTATTCTTCATAATATGCATCCGAAATGAGACTCTGAACAAACTCTCTTTTCGCACAAACTCTGAGCCTGAATTTACCGTCTCATTTGCATGCTTCAAAACCATGGTCCAAAAGCTACAAACTGTTTACACAAAATACGAGTACGAGTACGAAAGCAAAAGTTGATCACCCCGCCCAAATGCGTTTTGCACTTGAGCATACGGATTTGCATCAACACGTACGAGTACGGTTTCAACTAAGTCGTGGACCTTCAAAGCTACAGGTTAGCGGTAGAGTTTTGCTAACAAGCGAAGTTCACGGTACAACTACGCAATCTTCAATCGACAGGCTCTGGCTGGCCTGCGATGAAAGTCGCAGGACTGGCGCAAGCGGACGCCCACAAGGAGATTCATGCAGGCTGATGTGCTTCATGCGCCCAAAATGGCACTGCGTTCAGCGCACACTGTTGCTCTCAGCCTTCTATAAGCTGCATCATGAACATCAGGCACAACACTGAGGGACCACAGGCTATGATCAATAAGACCGCGTCCCAATCATCATACCCTGCTTCAACCTCAAGCTGGGTTGTGACATTGGCACTGGTGTTGTCAACATTCGCATCATGTACTGCACGGCTTTCATCATCCCATAGCCGCCCAAGGCTCAAAGCCTTTAAGGCACACAGCACATGAATAATGCACGCAAACACCACGCACGTCACAAAATGCCACGACATCGACACTGCATATGTCTGAACACCGGCATCCTGTCGTATGACGCTGCCATCTGCACCTGTGACCAAGCTGACCAACATGAGCATAAGGGTGCTGTTGGTCAACCCATTGCCCTTCATTGACTTGTTGATCACCCTCCTGACCTGTGTGATTTCTGTCAATCATTCTCAATCATCTGAAGCAGACTTGCGTTCTCAGACTCGCCTACTGGTGTCACTGTATCACCTTGGCACTCGACGAAATCATGCATGAACAACACTGCCTTCAAACGGTTGTCGCTGGCCGGGACATTGGCCCCCAAGTCTGATGGGTTGCGCCGGCCATCCACCGCTGACACTTGAAGCATAGTACCGGCCAAATGATCTTGTATCCAAACAAATCTTCCGTCGAGGAAGCGAGTTTTTGGAAACGCCTTGCTTCCGCGACAGCTGCTTGCATAATTGATTGTCGACCTACGAACGATTTTCCCATTTTCAGTCATGTGATTTTCACTTGTGTTTTACTTTACTTATTTCGCTCCTTTAGTTGTGCACTTGAGAATGCTGTTGATATACCGAAGGCTTTTGTTGCTCAGGAGTGTGGAAAAGTTCGTATGGTAGCGGAGCCGCGGTACGGCCAAGATTCCTGGAGTCTCTTGGTGCCGTGGCTCGGGGACAGGATCCAATCCCCGACACAGAGAGGTAGTGACAAGCCACAACAGCAACACGTCTTTGGTTCTTGGATTTTGCGTTGCGAGATCCGTTCAGGGACCCAGGACTTCACTTTGCATTTCTAGGTCGTAAGTGCTAAGCGCGGCGGGTAGCTGCAGACGCCTGTCTTTGCATCAGGCAGTAGTGCCATGGCGAATGTGCCAGTGCCAGGCACTGATGATCTGGACGATTTGCCAGAGCTTGATCCCGTGCAGGGACCGCAGTTGCCCCAGGTTTCAGGGAATCCTTTCATGCCGAGCCCAGCCGCTTCGCCTTCTCAGGGTCAGATAGTGCTAGGGCCTGCTCAGATGAATGCTTTGTTTGAACAGCTGGCCGAAGCCACCCGTGCAGCATCAGATGCAGCAGCGGCAGCGGCAGCAGCAGCAACAGCTTCGAGGGATGGTCCTCCGTCCTTGACAGGCAAGGACATGCTGCGGGTGCTCCCGAAGCCCGAAGTCTTCTCGGCGACAAGCCGGGAGCAGGAGCACACGTCATGGCCCAGTTGGTTTTGGTCCTTTCAGCAGTACCTGTCAGCCCTTGACCCCGGATACGGGCCCGACATCGAGGCTTTGGAGGCCAATCCGAGTGCAGTGATCGTAAAGGGCCAGGGCACCATTGCACAACAGCATAGATCTCGTCAGTTGTACTCATTGCTAGCAGCACTCATTCGTGGTCGTGGTTACTTGGTTGTTCGACAGACAGAGACCGGCAATGGTCTTGAAGCCCTGCGCCAGCTTATGAGCATGTTTGCCCCGCGCTCCCAAGGTCGTTCGCTGGGCATTCTCACTGCCATCACCCAAGTTCCATCGTTCAAGGCGTCGGAGGCCTTGCTACCGCAGATTTTGGACTTAGAAAGGGTCTTTACGTCCTATGAGGAGTCTGCTTCAGAAACTCTGCAGGGCAGTGTGAAAACGGCCCTGTTGCTTCGATGCCTGCCTGCGAGCACTAAGAATCAGATATACGCCAGCCTCCCAGAGGACGCCACTTACGCGCAGGTCAGAGAGGCGAGCTTGAGGATCGAAAGGCAACATTTTAAGTGGCAGTCTGTTTCTTACTTCGGTACGGTCCGCGAGGCCTCATCCCGAGGGCACGATGATGCCGTGCCGATGGAAATCGATGCTGTGCAAGGCGGCAAGAAAGGTGGCAAAGGCAAGCAATCCAACAGGGATGGCAAAGGCAAAGGCAAAGGCGGCAAGAAAGGTCAACAGGGTCATGGTTCCCATCCTCAGTCCGGTAAGTCTAAAGGAGGCAAGGGCAAGGATGGCAACAAAGGAAAGCAATCCAGCAAGGATGGCAAAGGCAAAGGCAAAGGTGGCAAGGGTGCTGATAGATCGCAGGTCGAGTGTTTCAATTGCGGTCGCAAAGGGCACTATGCTTCTGAGTGTTGGCGCAGCAAGGGCCAGGCCAATGTGCATCAGGTGGTCAATCCCGCGCCGTCGGAGGCAGCAGCTTCCACCGCAGGACCGTCAGCATCCCAGGCAGGCGCGTCCCAGAGTGCAACAACGGGCGTCGCATTGAAATCGATTTGAGCGTGGTGGGCAGCGACGTAGGCAGCAGCAGCACAGGCATCCGAATGATCACACAGGCGACGTCCGCGCCGAAACCGGACCAGGTGCAGCTCGAGCCATACCCGAGCGAGGCGACGTCCGCGCCCAAACCGGACCTGGTGCAGCTCGAGCCATACCCGAGCGAGGCGATGTCCGCGCCGAGACCGGACCAGGTGCTGCTCGAGCCCTACCCGAGCCAGGCGATGTCCGCGCCCAAACCGGACCAGGTGCTTCTCGAGCCTTACCCGAGTGAGTTTTTGAGTCTTGTGAGTGCCACGCTGCCAGTCATGAGTTCGCCAGAGCCTCCCATGCTTGAGTTTGATCGTGCTGCCCCGTTGTTTGACATGAGCTACAGTGATGACGACGGTGAATGGACATATGCAAGCCAGGGTTGCTTGGAAGGGTCGCTGAGTGTTGTGACGTTTGCCTTGGAGCATCAAGTCTGTGCCATCCACCAGGATGTTGACATCATCCTTGATAGCGGGGCAGATCACTCCTGCCTTCCTGCG